AGATTTAAATACAGATGAAGCTTTGGCCGCCGGAGAAGAAAGCAGAGAAATTTACTACAAAATTATTGACGAATTGGTAACTCTATTAAATAATTTACTCAGCAAAGAAAAGAATTTAGATAAAATAGGTGCCGAACTACAATCGTATTACGATTTATACAATTCTTTTGAAATTCAGAACTATTCGGAAAATAATACTCAATACAAGATACTTTTAGGAATCCTTTATCAAACTGGATTCATTGTTGAAAAGAATGTTGCATTAGCATTAAGCATTTTTGCGGAGTTATCAAATAATAACAACACTTCAGCCCAATTCTTCCTAGGATATGACTATGAAAATGGAATCGGAACACAAAAAGATGAGAAAAAAGCATTTGAGTGGTATTTGAAATCAGCAGAAGGTGGAAATGCACTAGGACAATGTAATCTTGGTACATGTTATCGAAATGGAATCGGAACACAAAAAGATGAGAAAAAAGCATTTGAGTGGTATTTAAAATCAGCAGAGGGTGGAAACGCAGCAGGGCAATGTAAGCTTGGTTTTTGTTATCAATATGGAATCGGAACACAAGAAGATGAGAAAAAAGCATTTGAGTGGTATTTAAAATCAGCAAAGGGTGGAAACGCAGCAGGGCAATGTAAGCTTGGTTCGTGTTACCGAAATGGAATCGGAACACAAAAAGATGAGGAAAAAGCATATGAGTGGTATTTGAAATCAGCAGAAGGTGGAAACGTACTAGGACAATGTAATCTTGGTATATGTTATCGAAATGGAATTGGAACACAAAAAGATGAGGAAAAAGCATTTGAGTGTTATCTGAAATCAGCAGAGGGTGGAGTTGTTGAAGTACAATTTTATCTTGGTTTTTGTTATCAATATGGAATCGGAACACAAAAAGATGAGAAAAAAGCATTTGAGTGGTATTTGAAATCAGCAAAGGGTGGAGATGTTGATGGACAATGTTATCTTGGTATATGTTATCAAAACGGAATCGGAACACAAAAAGATGAGAAAAAAGCATTTGAGTGGTATTTGAAATCAGCAGAGGGTGGTGATGTTAGTGGACAATTTAATCTTGGGGTTTGTTATCGAAACGGAATCGGAACACAAAAAGATGAGAAAAAAACATTTGAGTGGTATTTGAAATCAGCAGAGGGTGGTGATGTTAGTGGATAATTTAATCTTGGTTTTTGTTATGAAAATGGAATCGGAACACAAAAAGATGAGAAAAAGCATTTGAGTGGTATTTGAAATCAGCAGAGGGTGGAGATGTTGATGGACAATGTTATCTTGGTATATGTTATCAATATGGAATCGGAACACAAAAAGATGAGAAAAAAGCATTTGAGTGGTATTTGAAATTAGCAGAGGGTGGAGATGTTGACGGACAATTTTCTCTTGGTTTGTGTTACCGAAATGGAATTGGAACACAAAAAGATGAGGAAAAAGCATTTGAGTGGTATTTGAAATCAGCAGAGGGTGGAGTTGTTGAAGTACAATGTTATCTTGGTTTTTGTTATCAATATGGAATCGGAACACAAAAAGATGAGAAAAAAGCATTTGAGTGGTATTTGAATCAGCAGAAGGTGGAAATGTACTAGGACAATGTAATCTTGGTACATGTTATCAAAATGGAATCGGAACTCAAAAAGATGAGAAAAAAGCATTTGAGTGGTATTTGAAATCAGCAGAGGGTGGAGATCTTGACGGACATTGTTATCTTGGTTTATGTTATCAAAATGGAATCGGAACACAAGAAGATGAGAAAAAAGCATTTGCATGGTATTTGAAATCAGCAGAGGGTAGAAACGCAGCAGGACAATTTAATCTCGGTTTGTGTTACGAAGAAGGAATTGGTGTTTCTAAAGATATTAGGAAAGCTAAAAAATGGTATAAAATTGCAGTTAAAAATGGTAGTATAGACGCAAAAAAACGAATTGATGCAATTCCTAGATATAAATTAATTATTTCCGCTCTTTTTTAGATTTTATCTATTTTGTAATTTTCTTTAGATACAATTTTTTTATTTTCTTATTGAGCTTGTTTTTTAGAGGTTATTCAAATTAATTCTTCTATGAATCTAAAGAGGCAAGTTCCGAGATATCAAGCATTGAAATATGAATTCAAAATTTTTATTCCTGTAGATAAGAAATGGAGATAGAAACTTCAGAGTATTTTTAATTTAAGACTATTAAATTTGAATTTACATAGTTTCACTTTATGGTGTACGTATTTATGTAATAATATCATATTGATTGATGTCATCATTATAATATTGGCTGGTTTTCCTTTTTCTTGATATTTCACATGCGTAGGATGTATTTACTAATTAATTTTCTAATCAAATTTCATATTCAAATTTCATATTCAATAACATTCAAATACATGTACATATTACATATACGTATGGAGATGCCATCAAACGTTTAAATTTTGAATTTAATTCTTAGTTAAGAAGTTTATACATTTATAAATTACAAATATTTGATGGTATGCACCATATCGATATGATAGAATACTTCTAAAGAAGCAAATATTTACATCAAGATTCACGTCTAAAAGATTTAAATTTGGACATTGTAATCTAAATGAGAGTATGTACTCAAAATGACCATTATTATAATGTACAAACGATAAAAAGTATATTTAAAGTCAAACCTCGATATATCGATGCTTCGTTATAACGATTACTAATTAACGATGTTTTTACTAATTATCCCCATCACATCGTTATATCTAGGTTTGATTAAATGCTGCGTATTTTTGCTAAAGTGCTATACTAAATATGCTAGCTTTGTTGTTAATTTTTTAGCAATAAGTCACTAAAAATTAACTACTTATATTAAATAAATTATTTTTCATGAAATGGGCAACTCAATTTCTGTATGGTTTATTAAATCGTACCTAAATGTTACTTTGTAATATAATGTACACTACCCTCCTAAAATTATCTGATTCACTATAAATCTTTTATTTTATTTAACTAAATTATAATATTTTACATGTAATGCTTGCAATCAAATTAATGTAGGTTTTAGATGTGATTCTTTCATCCTTGTAATACTTCTTCAAATTCATGAAGATTTGAAAAATTGTGTATGTAATAGTACTTTTGGAATTTTTAGAACACAGCCAATAGCTTTATGAACTCCCTCTTTTCCATAAACTGATATTTAAACTCATTTATTTTGCAATTTTTTTCATTTATGAATGTTGATTAACTGATCTATGCATTGTAACACAAAATAGGTTTATTATCGATATACATGTAGATGTACGTACGTATGTACAATCTTGAGAAAATCAAAAGAAGTTTGCTTGGATACTTTTGGAAGAGTAGTGTAAATATACTAGAAATCTAAAGAATAAAATATTTTATTTTATAGAAATTTTTCTCATGATAATACAGTATACAAGTATTGGAGAATTTTGTATTCTAATCAATATAAATAATGATAATTTTTTGTTTTCATATAAAATGATAAAACGTGCCTAAAGAATTTGTTTATTATATAAAATTTTTAGAATTTACTCAAGTCCTATAAGAAAAATTGCACATAAATTTACCTAAAAAAACATGTAAAATTACTTGACAAACACTTGCAAAACTACTTCATAAAACTCTATCTTAAAAGCATGCAATTCAGACAAATTCAAGCGTGAATACATCAAAGAGTGGTTGAGCAAGGCTTAAAAACCTGAAATTTGCACGTAAATTACCTGAAATAATATGTGAATCAAAAGATTCACTAAAATTAATTAGTTTCAAGTGACATAGAAACCACCGAAATAAAAGCTTCACACGTCTTTTCTATAGTAATAGCTGCTCATATTCATAATATTTTGAATATTTCTATAGAAATTTATATGATTTATTACTATTTTATATCCTTCGAAATGACAAATTGTCCTAGTCTTTATGGTAACAATTATTATGCTCAGGAAATCAGTGTTCGAGAAGTTATGGCTTGTTTCAGAAAATTACGTTAAACTAAGTCTATAACAGCTAGCTACTCAATGTCGATGTCTCGAGATTTGTGAATTCAACAAATTTACACAGTGAATCTCTTTATATTTGAGGCTTTTATAATAGATCTCTCGATATGGTGGAGCTTGTTATACAATTAGTAAATTTCTTTCTATATAGTAGATAATTTACCCTCCACTATAAAGAGAGTGACTGTGTATTACCGTAGAGTACGGCCTATATTAATTTAATTTTTTTTTGTAAAATCAATTTTTTTTTGCAACATGAATAATTTAAGTTTTACGAAATAATTTCTTCAAAGGTCTTGTTACCAAATTAATGGCTTTAGTGAAAAAAGTTTACAGGGGATGGTAATATTGGCAGTGCTCTACGATGTAGGGTTTTTTTTAAAATACAGATATTATTGAGAATTTAGTGAAATTATATTGACAATAAATATCACAACTCCAATAGTGAACCATCAACGACACATACATTCTATGAATAATTTTTATCTACATGTGATAAGCGTTCTTAATTCAAAAGAACCACTGAGTCATTAAGAAATTAATAAAAACAATTTGCAACTTGAAGAGTATGCTAATAATTTTTATTGTTTCAGCAACTCTCAAAGACAAAATTATATAAGTAAATGGATATCCATGGAAATGAACTAAGTAATGACTATGCAAAAAATAAATCAGGTGGAATGATCAAAATGAATCACATGAGCATTTGAATAAAACAGCAAACACTATTATTCTATAAATTAAATAATCATATGACAAAATAAATATTTATGAAAGATATCGAAATTTATTTTTATAACTAAGATATACCGTATATCCGAAAATAAGCTATCATTCTTGACACAATTTTGACTTCAAAACAAGGGGGTAGCTTATTATCGGAGATATACGATATTTGGTCGCAGTTAAATGACCGTTAAATCATCGGTTAACTGGTCAAGGGTTTAGTGAGCGATCAATTAATTTAATATTAACACTCCATAGTGCATGGATGACCAAAATGAGGCTGAACGCGCAAGGTGTAGCACACTCACTGATGCCATAAACGTTTATATGTTCCTGAAAATTTGCGAAAGCTTTAATATATTTTGCATCGCAGACCGACGTTGGTTCTCGGGCTTGGGTATTAAGCTGTATACCAAGTTCCGCTCCTAATTCGTTGTATGACATTTGTTTTGTTGCAGTCAGGTCACTGGTCGAACAAGGTGGGTTTCGGTTTCCCCTTTGGTCAAAATGTAGGGTCAAAATTCAATTTGATAGTTTTTACCCTAGATATCTCCACAGTTTTACCGAACAAACAAAATCCGGTTAAATAATAAGAAAAAATACGCGTCAAAATCAAGTAAAACACTATACAAAATATAGCGGAATAAAACCCAGATAAAAATTAGATTGACTCGTATAAGTTTAACCTGATTTTTCCTAATCAAAACGTGGGGACAAAATTTTATTTATATTTTTTGCCTCAGATATTACTAAACAAATAAAACAATAGGAAACATATGCATCAAAACTAGGCGAAATCCTGTATAAAAATATAGGAGATAACTAGTCGAATAAACTCGGGAAAACCCCAAATTAAACCTATATAAGTTTAGCCCTGGTCAAAGTCACATAATGATTACGTGTGTGACATCAAAAATTAAATATATCAACCTTGCATACATTTTTTCGTCCTTGTATAGTATGATTTTAATTTTCCACACTATTTTGAGAGAGTAGTGTGCCTCAATATCCTTTCCAAAACTAGGGAAGGGATAAATTCTTCGCCGCGTTTCTTGGTCCATGAAAATCATTAGGGATTCGTCGAACCTGAAGTACCACAAATGGCTTCGTAAGAACCATTTGGAGTAGCCAATTTGCTAAGGTTTCCAATGAACAAATACAAAATGTTTAATATTTTGTTGCTGGTCGAGTTTCAGAAAAAAGTTGGTTTCTTTTATGTAATACCTCCCTCCAGATATATACACTAAAGTTTGTAACAATTCTTAACTCTTATTTAACAGATAAATTACTTTATCACAAACGAACACATATAGCATGTCCAATTTCTAACCAAAGAATTCGATGTTTGATTACCATGTTACCACATATAGTTTTTTTATTCAATTTAAGAAAGGAAAAATTGATATTACCTATAATTTACTATATTATTTTGTTATATTATCATTTATAGTATTACCTGTAATTTGACTATATAATTAAATAAATATATTCCTAAGTTTGATCATATAATTAACTATGACATTACTTATAGTTTCACCTGATGATTAACTAATATTACCTGTGGTTGACCATATAATTTAACCAAATAATATTGATATGATTTAGAAGTTTTGACTACAATTTTGTCCTGGATTTACTCCAAGTAACCCGAATTTTGTTTGGTCTAAATATGGGTGAAATAAGATATGAAACTGTATAGTTTTTGTGCAAACTTGGCCTATATTTTTGCCGCTAGATTTACCAGTGTGTAATCCATGATATCACCTATGTTTCAGATCGATTTTGACCAGGGGAAACCATCCTGTTCGACCAGTGGGTGTTTCTCAGTGAAAAACCTATTCCGCGTATTCTTGTCTCTCCAATTGGAAGAGTGTTTCTCGCATAGTTTTGTGATGAGATTTAGTATTAGCGTCGTTTATTAGCAAAGACAAATAACACTTAGCACAATATTGAACCTTTTTTAATATCTCTTTTTTGTCCTATGTTGCAGAGAAGGAAGGCATGAAGAAAAAGTGTGGTAAATTGACACACATTCCATGGAATGAAAGTATCTCACAAGTGTTCGGATTGATAGGTCTCGTATGTATTAAACGATGTCAAGGCGCTCAATGTACATATAAAAAACTTACTTTGTGTGGGTTTAATAAGAAAATCAGTTGCATTTATAAAAATAATTGACAGATCAAAGCTTTATTCAGGAATGTAGTTAATTTTAACTTACTACGTATTTTGCAAACTTTATTTTTAGTGTCACAACCACAATTATAATAACGAAAATAATCTAACTGCGCTTTTAATATCCTAAACAAAGAAAAATATATTTCCAAATTTTCCATTTACAGATAAGTAAAATAGAAAAAAATTATTCTCACGAAAAGCGAATTTAAACTTTTCTTTTTAAAAAAATTACTTCATCACTTCAAGTACTAAAAAAGTCAAACAGGATCATTCCCTGTGATAGAAAAATTACTATCCTGTACGAGCCTTACGCTAAATTGAGGTCTGCCGATGAGTTATAGTTATACGCATAGACAGATAACACAGTACATGGTGCATGTATACGCCATAAGAAAATTTCTTGTCATGCATCTGCGTTTTATCGTAACATTGATTTTGTACTGTACTGTTATAACATACGTATCAGGAACAGTACTTAATTACATTTTACTTAAAACAGTTCAGTACTGGATATGTTATCGATATGCTATGAATTGCAATTCAGTATCGGAAAAAGGGTTAGGTATGGCTTCAGGTATAAGTCATGTCAGAAATATTTCCTAAATTAGATTATATACTAATTGGTCTAACGCTAATGTTCCCTCGGTTTTTTAAACCTTCATCACGAGATTTCGCCAATTTGCCAAAAATGGATATCCGATTTAAGGAGTCTATCGGTTGATCAATGCGTGAGAAAAAATAAAATGGCCATTTTCGAATTTTATCGGATATGATCACAATGCAAAATATATATCGATATGTGAGCAACAAACACGAGAACAATGCAATTGATAAAATGAAGTGTCTCATATGATCTGAAAACAGCAAGCAATCCATAATACATGTACATGTAGTAATAATATGACCAACTTTTTAATCGGACATCCAATAGTTTTTACGAGATTGAAAAATTGATTTATTACTTTAATTATATCAGCCAATTATTTTAAATATAAATATATGCGATTCTTGTTTTTTAAAAAAATTCGTAGTCCAAACACGCCTTCAATATTAATCTACCGACCAAATGCTTCGATCAATTCAAAGACAGATTTTTCCTTTGATTCGTAACACGAATATAAACTTCTTCACATCAATTAAAAGACAACGGTCGACAATAACTGGCGCATTTGCTCCCTCCACAACTCGTCAATGGGCGAAAACTCACGATTTTCAAATTTTTGAAAGTGCGATGGAGCATGATGTTGAATTGCCGTCGTTTACCGTCGGCTATAAGAACGGATTTTTGCCTCGACAGGTGGTGATGAAGCAAACCTTTTTATGTTTAGCTTTTGATTAAGTTTTCTACATATATCTTATAATAGGATCCGTTAGCTCGTCTTCCAGATCGTTTCTTTACGCTTGAATATCTCTTGAAACAGATGCCAATTAATTTACCTGATGGAAATAAAGGATTATTGGCGCGGGGAGAACTTGGAGATGCAGTCAAAAAGAATTTACCGTTTTATGACGTGAGTGACGTAACCGATCAACGATTGCTTTCAGGTATAATAATACAAGAGCTTTGCTATTTTTAATGCGTAGTGATTTGGCTCAATTATGTTTATGCTAGCATTGTTTAGGGATTACACGTTCTTGGCATCGGCGTATCTTCTCGAACCATGTGATATAATGTATCGTGAAAAGAAGAATTATGGTCTTGGACGTCAAGTTTTACCAAAGAATATAGCGGTTCCCTTAAAAACTGTTGCAGACAAAATTGGCGCAAACCCATTTATGGAATACGCTTTATCATATAGGTAATTTATTTATTAAATTATATTCGTCTTCCGGTTATTGTTACTAATCTAGAACGTTTATTACTAGTCTCTATAATTATCAACGAATTGACCCATCGAAGCCAATCACTTATCCAAACCTAAATCTAGTTCGATCGTTCGCCGGATCCCAATCAGAACACGGATTTATTCTCGTGCATGTCGCGATGGTTGCCAATTCTGGAAACTTGGTTCGTTGGACAATGGAAACTATGAATTCAGCCGCGCAACAAGATCGCAATCGATTTAATGTGGCATTAAAGCATCTTAATGACACAATGGAGACGATAAATCAAGAAATGGAGAATATGTGGGAACGTTCGAACCATGAAGATTATTTAAAGTTTCGTACTTTCATTATGGGATCGAAAAATCAGCCGATGTTTCCGAATGGTAAGTTTTAGCTTTTCTATTGATGGTGTTTCTTTCTTGTTCGCGAAACAATTTCTGATTAATTCGATCTGTAGGCGTTATCTATGAAGGTGTAAGCGATAAACCATTATATTATCGAGGTAATAAATAATATGTGATTTTTGTTGTTTGAGAAGAATGAAATTGCTTGACTTGTAACCTTAAACGATTAGGCGAATCTGGGGCAAACGACTCTATGATTCCATGCATGGACAATTTGCTTCAAATCACAGCCCAAATGCCGAATAATCCATTGACAGAAGTCCTAAAAGATTTTCGAAATTATCGGCCTACAAATCATAAACAATTTTTAGAATATGTCCAGAAACGAGCAGAGGATGTTAATGTGCGTGGTTTTGCTGTTCAAGATGCAAATAGTACTGGTAAATATAATGGATTTTAACATTTTTGATTATGAGGATAATGCTTTTTTTTATAGATCAAATCATCTTATTTTGTGATATACAGCTTTATATTTAGCGAACATGGATCAGATACGTGCGTTTCGTCATCGTCATTGGAATTTTACGAAAGAATATATAATTAAGCATACGAGTCATCCGGTGGCTACCGGGTAATTATAATTCGGCTAATATTCAAAAACGGGTTTTTTACTATACTAAATTTCTTTATTTATAATATGAAGCGGTTCTCCAATCATCACCTGGCTTCCGAATCAACTATCTACAGTTCTGCATCAAATGGCCAAAGTTGGACAGACAATAAATTATGCGGAACTTTCTCTTGAAAATAGAATTCTTGTCGGCGAGATTGTGAATCGAGCTAGCATTCAGGAGCGAGTGTTGAAACGTGAGGTATCAATTTTGAAGGATCGGTTTGGAGAAAGTCAGGATAACAATAGAGTTGTGGTTTGAGTTTAAAGCAATGAGTTTGTATTTTCAGTGATCTTTTCAATAGATATTGATACTATGTATATGTTTTTGATTGTTTTGATTATTACTAGAATATATAGCAAACAATAATAACTATAACATAAACAAAAGGCATAACGATAAGATTTGTATGAAAGAAAACATTATATCATAATAATTTCTGTGATTCAATGCAATGAGATTTTTAATACATATCGATATAATAACTAGTTAATTAAATTCTATATTTAAAGCGGTATGTTAAGAATAAAGTGTTTCAAGTCTAATCATTCTTATCAAGACCAGAATCAAGGCGATTCCATAATCATGCTCGTCAAAAATAGGGTTAAATGTTCACGTATTTGCTAATCGACGTGCCGAATGCTTTTCGATAATACTTTTAACTTGACCCGATAATATCGATATCGATATCGTTTTCGGAATCCGGATGACACATAATTTTATTGCTTTTTAAATTAGTATTTTCAAACGTTCTGTTAGCATGATAATCAAAACGTGTTACGTAGCCTCTTTTTAGATAACGATAAAGTTTTGGATAACCCTTCCTCTATCGCTATCTGTAATTTTTGTAACGATTTCACTTTTCACTTATAACTACATAATTGGTCCAAATACGTAGAACAGTTAAGAGATTGTTACGTAAGGATTAGCATTATCAGTGCAAATTATGGTTAAAATATAATCCACACTAAGCCTTTTCGGAGATTAATTTTTAAGTGTTTCATATGTTGGTACGTCTGTGTGTACAGTAATATTTTTTAATAAATAAGCAATCGAATATATCGATATAGCCAACCGTGTGAGAGGTGGTGTTTGAAATCTATCAAAAAACATTGGGAATATGTACGATGTTCCCAAGCTGTCCGTAACGGGAAGTTTGAAGAGTATGCTTTATCCAGTTCGAAATCAAAGGTCTCGTGCAATTTGAAATACGATACACAGATTGAATTTCCGTGTCAAATGACCACTTATGTAATTTCCAATAAAATGAAACAGTCGCTATTTGAGTTTCTCCGCAAAAATTTCACGAGCTCATCATGCAAAGTCGATTAGCTTTCTATTGTTTGTATCACAATAAAAGGGGGTGGTTGGTAGAGGGGGGTATTCGTTACACAAAAATGTAAATAAATATCTGTGCGATAACATCTTTCCCAATAAAACTTTGTTGTCGTCGACGTTAAGTATTCATGGTTGAATAAAATGGAGTCAAAAATAGCTAGCAGTGATTCGTCGTCATCAATTAAAGCCACATCGTCAACAATGGCAACTAGTATAACGGACAATAAAGATCACAGCGATAATAATATTTCACTTCCATCAAACTTTCTAAATATTCCAACCACAATAATACTACCACAACTTCCTGATCCGCAGCCAAAATTCCAAGCTTCAAAAACAACCAAAACATCATCAACATCAAAAATTACCCGACAAAGAAATACATCAACAAACATCATCAAAACAAACAAAAACACCACAAAAAAATCTGATTGGTGGGATCGCCAAGTTCGTGCATACGAACTGACAGCGACAAAAGAGAACCTGATCAACAAAGATGGATCAATTTTTCCCGTTTCTGTGGAGAATGTATGTAAATTTATGCAAGTTAAAGCGTTGACGAATAATCCGAGTACTATTGGTTGGTATTTGAAAGGTATCGTGAAATATCAAATGGAAAAGCGATTAGGAGACGGGGAAGCAATTCAAAGTCATCCAGAAGTTATGAAAATGAAAGAGAAAATTAAAAAAGAATATGACGAAAAAATCAACAAACAGGGAATTGTTCAGAAAACACCATCGTCGTCCTCATCTGTTACTGCGGTTGCGGATTCATCTTCGTCAAATTCAAGTGCTGTAAATAATACTAATCCGAACATTAATAATCAAAAAACGAATATTGAAGACAATAATAAAATGCGACCATTAATCCAAGATCCATCAACCGCTCAGTTTCCAAATTATACCAGCAATAAAATCGATCCACCTCAACTTCAATCACCCGAGAATGCGTCTAAACCTAAGTTATCATATCCGACATACATACCAACTGGTGCTCTTGCAACGAATCACTCCCCTATAGAAATAAATCTTCGGACTGTTTCAAATAATACAACATTTCACGGTGATTTCGAATTGCTGTACGCAAATCAGAATCGTCATCAAGCTGAAGGATATAAAAGATTGGATTTGACAAATGAAAAGTATCCGGCTCGTGCTGTGTTAATACATTTTGGAATTTGGACCGGTGAGTGGATAATTTAAAGCAAACTCAAAAATTCAATAGGGGGGTTTTTTTTAATTTATGGGATATTTTAGTCCAAGATGAAGTTGATTTCTGTGACTGGGTCCGGATAACAAATTCATGTAATAGAGTAATTCTTGGTCAGAATAAAGGCGTATGGTATCGATTATCTGAAGAAGGTATTTTTAAGTCTATTTGTTTGAAAAATATTACTATGCCGTATAGTACCTAAGCTTCTTGATATCTCTAGCGAGTAATGCTGACAAAAAACCCAAAAACAATGTAAAGAAACACGATCTAAAGACTAATCATATTGCTAATAAAATTCGTCGAAAAAGTATCTTTAATCTTTTGTTTGAATTTCACGATTCGTTTCTCATGACAATAATATTGAGTTTATACATCAGCATTAGATATTCCTCCTTCGCAAGTTCCTATTCACCGAACAGCTCCGAAAAAAAGAGATCGTTCGTTGTCACTGAATGATATCAATCAACTTCAGAATTTGCCACATCGCTTTTACCATAACAATAATATTGATGACAATGATGATTCCTTCGGATTATTAAACACAAGTTTGTAGCATATTCTAATATTTTTCATTTACTAATTTCACCTTTTTTATGTATTTTTTTTATTTCAATTTTTATAGATACCGATACTGTACCTCTCCCTTCGCTCCCTCAACGTTATCACTATCATCCAAGCGTACTATGGCAAAACGCACAATCACCGCTTTATCAGCCTTGTGAAAGTAAATTGATTATTTAATTCTCTCGAGCATTTCTGTATATCGATATCAATCTTGATCAACTTACTGTGGTTTTCTCTAGTTGATGTTATTGGGGAAAATAATTACTATGAACAAATACAAACAGCGCATCGAAACATAATGGATAATTTGGCGTTTATATCTGAAGTATATAATATTTATAGTTTTCCTAATCCATTAAAATTTCGAAGCATTTAAATTTAATTGTTAATTAATTGATTAATAGGAACCGGATTCATTATTATGGCACGAAGAACTTATCGCACCAGAACAATACAGCAATAATCTCGCTGTCGCCGCGAATTCATTCGTTAACATTAACAACACCAACGCTACTAAAGACAAGAATAACAATCAACAGAACATTAACAACACTAAAATTCAAAATGGTAGTAGAAGCAGCCATCACCACCATCTTGAACTTATCGCTGGAAACTTGTTAGATGGAACATATGGAGGACGCATTGATTATTTACAGAATGATAACGATAAAAATAGCATTGTGATACCATTGACACTGAATGATGAGTTATTGCAGATGTGGGGAAAGTTTTGACTGCACATGAAAAAATCATTTCCAAAACTAGCAGTTTTCTTTGGACTGACTGTTTAACATACTTAACGTTAAGATTTATCGTGTACAGTGCTTTTAGCTTAACGTTAACGTTAATATAAAACGAAAATAATTAATTATGAAATAACTGAAGTCGTTATTAAAATATTTCAATCAGGATAAACTTAAAATTTCGCTTAACGTTTAAAGTACATGTACTTATCATTATTATTACGTTGGAAAACTCATTATTCTGTTATCTTGATCGAAAGTATTCTTTTTGATCCAATGGTGAAATCAATCTTTGTTTATTTGATTTTTCCGATTTCAAGAATTTTCACCATTCTCAATATCAAACTCTCGTGAGATATATGCTGACATTATAAACGAAAATTAGCATTCTAGCAAGTAACTTTGAAATATTGTTTGCTGAACAGCATTTTCTAAAAAAAAATAATAATTTTTACCTTCATTTGGAACATACAAACTGGTGCTTGTAAAGCCTAAATGCCCAAAGTAAAATTAATATGAAGTATCATATTATTTACCATAAATGCCGTGAATAAGCACCACTTTTTGGTTCGAAAAACGGGGGTGGAACTTGTTAAATTATAGCGATGTTAGATATATTTTACTATTTTTAGATTGAAATAGGGTGGTGCTTATTCACGGCAGTTTACGGTGTATTCCGAAATAGAAAGTACCTGTATCTGTTGGAATTGAAATTAATTTTGAAGTAAAGATTCAATTGGTGTATACTGCATTTGAGTGTATTTGCTGCTTTTCGCTTATATTTGCAAAAGTATTTTTTTCCTTATCATGTTCTTCCCATTTCTGTTTTTCTTGTTTAAGACACTCTTTAATTTCTTTATCATGCGTTTCAGTACATCCTAAAGTGCTGCAGTACTGAAAATGTAAAGTACTCGGTTTCCACTTCCTAGCGATATAGTCGGTATATATAGTGTGGATAAAGGCGTAAAGTTCTTCAGCAGTTGGTCTGTTTTCTAGGATGGATCCCAACATTTTTCAATAATAAATTTGTACCATCCAAAAGCATTATTTGTATCTTAGGGCGTACTCCTTATACACAAGATATATATATCACCAAATGGTCGTTCACCTGTGACAATCTCGTCCCAAAGCTATAAATATCAGCAGGTTTAGTATATGGCTTTTATAAGGAAGTACTCCGTAAATTTCTCCATTCGATGTTTTTATATTTGCTGGGCCGGTAAGTCCAAAATCGACAATTCGAGTACTATCGCTATGGTGATTTTCCAAGTCAATTTTTCGTATTTAGAATTACGTAATATATTTGCGAAAATCGCTATCGCTATTACCATCAAGTACGTACTCATTTTTTTAGTGATTTCATAATATGTCGAATCCTTAGTACACTTAGAGCAGTCAGAATCTATGGTTGAAAAACGTGTTTATGTTAGAAAACAAAAAAGCACCTTGGTTGCACTTTAGAAGCTATTCGTTTTTACTCATTTATGAACTCCAATGTGATTTGGCTTGAATTGTGTAATAATTTCAACACGACTTAGTCTTCTTGTCCTTCTCGCTTAAATTTATTTTCTCCATGATCCCATTCTCTTGGTTTGCCAACTGGGTACATTTACTACAATGATGAGTATGTTTAGATGATGAGTATATTTAGATTCCATCTTTCAGAGTTTAGAGAACTCAGCTGTATTTTATATATATAATAAGATGCGTACGTAACTATGAGCCTAACCTTCAGTCGATTCATAATGATTTCTGTGGTTCTGCATTCTGTAGAGCATATCGTTATGGGGAACAAGATTTCTTAATACGTACATGTAAGCTAGCGCTAGTCAATCTTTGATACAATAACGAATAAATTTAACTTCCAAAATTCTGCATAGTGATAGCATAAAAAAATGAAAATTTGTGCTCAACAATTCTTTTTATCAACTTTCGCCAAATCTATGACAATCAACGATTCCAATTCGAACTTGACCGAGGGCACTTTTTGGTGATTTGTTTTTTTTTCATCCAATCCTTATATTTTTGGCAAAGATCAGTCACTTTTCAAAATTGTCTTTAGCATATCGATTTCAGATACATGCGTCTTGCAAAAGATTCCATAGCGATAGGTTCTTATTTGTCTAAAGCCGGAATCATTGATCCGGAGTGAACAAAAAACTACTTCCATTTTGCTCGTCATTGTCTTTACAATTGAATGCTAATGAGATAAATAGTTGAAATACTATTCATAATAAACTAAATTTTTAGCATTTAAGATATGACACACAATTGACACGTCGCGTTAACACGTGGATTTCCAATAGTAAAAGAATCTCCCTTCTCTATCAAGTTTTTTAAGATAGTAACGATAGATAAAATTAATAGTTTATGATGAGTAATATTAAAAAAAATCTCAATCTATCAACCAATAAATTTCTTTTTCAAATATAAAAATTTTCAAACTCATCAATACTAGAATACTCCCTGATATGCATAAGCGACACACTACTCTGCGTGTACAATCTCAATCCCAATCTCAAATCCCACTCTTCTTTCTGAACACGTCGTTGATTTTCATCGCCTTCGTCATATCCATCATCATTTCCATCAACGCCATTCTTTTAAATTCAACCCACGTCTATCTTTAATTGCTGCCAATTCAGGATCGATATATGGCATACGAGAAGAAGTAGTTGGAGCAAAAACAGGTGCTCTAGTATTGCATGCTGCCGTAACAGTTACTTCGTTTGATATAGTGACGGTTGTTGCTTCTTCACCGGATGTCGCGTTGGTAATGTCGCTAGAGACGCTTCTGAATTCGCGACTGCTTCTATGCGTGGCAATAGTTCGTATGTACCGGCATCTACTTCTATGTTTGTGCTTTGGTCAAATGTGTCTCCTGATGTGGTGTATGGATTTCATATTCAGAATTTTTGATTGTGTTAATTAGTCTAAAATTGAGATGATACCTATAATAAAAAATTGAATTAATTGGAATTAGGTTTGCATTCGACAGTATTTGAATTAAAATAAAATTTACAAAAAATTGTGGTGGCTATGGAAAAATCGAGCAACGTGAAACTGAATTTCCATCAGATTTCGGTTTGACATTTTAATTTATCCACGCAGAATGCACGTCCCATGAAGAATCGAAATTTAGCACTTGAAAATGTAAGCGAAAAATGTGAGGAAATCTTCGTATGAGATCCAAAAGAGGCCGTCAGCGCCGAATCTGTGGTTTAGAATCCGAATGACAGAAAAAACAAGACAGATATATTATAGAAAACTAATGAAGTGATAAAGTTAAATGCGCATCAAATCGAAAATTTAAATGAATGCAAACCTTGCCATTCAGGAAATTTTCCATACGGATTTCGAATTTTCAAGAGCTTCACCCACATTTAATTCTCTAGCTTCTAATATACTATACGCGCGTGATTATCAACCAAACCTTTAGCATCGGGCGTCCAGTTGGCTAAATGTCCAGCACCCGAAATAGCAGTTTTGTTTAAGGTTAGCATTGTCTCGTTCCAGAAGCGTTCGGTGTCGAAAACATCGACCATCGAGTACATCTTGGCAACACCTCCAGTCAAATCTTCTAAACCTTTATTGATTGTAAAAAAATAAATATAGCATTTACGATTCGAATTATTGATTTTTTAAGTGGAAATACGTAAATTCAAAAATTTACCATGTCCTATTGATCCGAGATTAAGCAGAATACATACGTAAAATTAGCGCTATCATGTTGCAAATTTTGTTATTATTTGTCATTATCGTGATATGGAAATGAAGAACCATTTTGTTTGTTATTAGCCAGTTTCAAACACTATCAAGCTAACTTCCTCTTCAAAGAAAAAGAGAAAATGAAAGTGATAGAGTGTGAAATGATCCATTGTTTTGAGTGTGTGTTGGCAATCATACATAGTAATGGTAGATGCGGATATTTCAACGATTTCACAATACACGGCAATTTTTTTACATTCAAATGCAACGTGTATAAATTTATTTTCGCGAATATGCATTGAAGAAATACGCAATAAGCGTTATATGATTGTATCATTACACTATCTCTATATATATTACTGATTAAAAATTATATTATGATTATATTTACTGAGTTGAAATATGCAATAATGTCCTATCAAAAAGAAAAATGATAATGCTAATGATGCTAATGATCATGTCAATGCCAAGTTTTTACGATAACGATGCCAAAATTCCAAGAATAGAAACAAGATACAAAGCTAAGGAATGACTAACCAAAGGCGAAGCAGACGAAGGTGTTTTTGCCTCACTAGCAGAAGCACTCGGATCCGTTGATGAGTTGCTTCCGTCATCAGATCCCGATCCCGATCCTCCATTCAAACTAGAGGTAATCTTTGCAGGTAGATTACCAAAAGTATAGACACCAACTTCATATGCATTCAAATTACCAGATACGGCACCATTTTGCATGGTGACAGTTGATTTACCGCCGGAATCGGTAGTGCCATTGCCTTGCATCGAGCCAGAACTTTGCAAATCTTTGACTGCGACCTTGAAGCTGACTTTATTCTTGGCATCGCCATTCACTACAAGCAGCAAGAGGCTTTTCCCGTCTGTGGAGAGCCATGCGCCAGAGTAAATATTTTTGTTGTCGTTTGTCAGGTGCGAAGAGGGAAGTTGTTGTGATTGAAGAATGTATGGGATGAGAGCAGTTGTTTCGCTTGCTAATTTGGTAATTTGGGCTTTTAACGAATCGTTGGGGGTGAATGGATATTTCCAGTACATAATTGACTTGTAGCCATAGATTATAGAAATGTAAGACATTACTCGGTATTCTTGTTCGGTTGGCATTTTTGACCACCATGTTGGAGGATCAGAGAAAGCTTGTAGTACCATCCATTGATTCATTGCTTGACGACCAATAAGAGTTAAATCTTTCATGAATACACCTGTACGTTTTGGGATATCAAGAGTTGCACTGCCAAGACAATTGTCACAACCGCATACATCATTGGTTTCAGTACAATGTGACACATCAACACCGATCGGATAAACATCTATTAATAATTAACGTTAATAATTTAGTTTAACTTCTTCAATTTATATCATATATTAAATCGACACATACCAGTTGATAAAATATCGGTGGTATCAGCATAGAATGCTGCAGTGTGTTCACAATTAAGCACGAGCGCAACTGGATGGTATGGGTCAGCGGTTTTAATAGCATTATAAGCAGTCAATTCAGCCGAACTATCAGTCCATTGTTCACCATCGGGCTCATCGGCCTATTGAAACAAAATTTATTAATAAAATTGCTTCATTAAAAATTTCAATTATAAGATTAAATAAAAATACTTACAGTATACCAAGTAAGCAAACTGTTATATTTCTTGAATTGATTTACTTGAGACACGACTTTTTGAGTATCAGTGAATGAATAACGGAATGAGAGTTGAATATAAATTCCGCCAAGTTTATCGGCTGCTTGGAACATTTGATCAACTACGGAAAGATCGGTATAGGTGGGATCGGGGTTGATGACATTGTATCCGAGATCTTTGAGGGTTTTTAGATTGGCGGCAACGCCGGCACCGCCACCTAACCAACCAAAGTCAACATATGGACCAGTTGGGAAGATGGTATCGCCTGTAGCGGTAATTATTCCACCGTAAAGACGATCAAGTTTGACAGTTTTTGGACCTATAAAATATAAAAATTGTGAATAGATGCTCTACAATTCAATCATGCGTGTTGCCAGTACATAAATGCGCATTCAAACATACCAGAAGGAAGACGATACAATTTGACAGTAATTTGTGAAGCTGGAGAATTTCCAGTTCCTGAAAAAATTGACACTTTCAAATTATAAGCAGTCAATTTCGGTTTCAAGTTACTAATAGAGAATGGCACTTCCACAGCCATGTCTTTAATATTAATAGAAGTCTTTGGAAACAATTCACTTCCATCTTCATTTGCAATTTGTACAGAAATCGGTCCATTCGGATTTACCACATTAACCACAATTGAACCCTTCGAATCAGAATCAAGATACGGTTGGTATCTAGCCATCGCTGCATACCCTTTTGCCAAGTCTGGAACAGAAGGAATTGGATCTTTTTGCGGGGGCAAAATAATTGTTCCAGAACTTCCAGAAACATCAGTGGCATTTGACGCTCGTTTAACATTGAAAAATGGATGTTGAGGGTATGGTGATCTTTCGGGGATAAGGTCTCGAGCTTGTTTTTTTGGGACATATGGTTTACCGCACCATGATTTTTGGGCAGTTACTTCTGGTGTGGTGGTTGATAATAGTAACAACGCTGTTGTTACGGCACATATTAAAGATTGGTTTTGAAACTTCATTTTTATTGGTAAAAAAAGTATTTTTTGCTCTATTAAAGAGACCAAAAAGAAAGAAGGGGAGACGGGGAGAAGGGAAAAGAAAAAATATGTTTGATATTAATGTATGGTAGGTTATATTTTTTTGGTGAGAACGAATGTGGGTGGGTATATGTGGCTGTCTGTATTATTAGTATTATATTGTCTATAAACTAAAACCAAAAAGCCACAAAAGATAAAAAAGAAGGAAAAGGTTGGGTGGGGAGATTGAACGAAAGAGAGAGACAAAGTGAATAGTGCGAAAAATACACTATTCTTATCGTTATTAAATGCCTTGTTGTTTGTGTTTGGCTAACACAATTTGTAATACCTTCTTTATATATTCTCGGGAATCCAATTATGTACATGGACATTATCGTTATACGTAATGCATACTTGTTTATATATGGTGAACCCTACATTGTAATACTGTTTTTAAAGCGAATTCTTATTTATTGCATCGCGTTAGGCGCTTGAAATGTGTGGTCCGATTTGATGTCGTGTTTAAACAGTGCTTCGTTTTTTGCACAAGTATAAAAAACTGTATTTTTTATTAATTTAAGGCTAGGAGTTTGAAGAAATAATTCATTAATTTTAGACCGAAAAACATGTACGTAGTGGGTAAGCAAAATTATTTGAAATTAATATACGTACATGTATTTGATGAAAAATTATTTAAGTACATGTACATGTATTTACTTAAAATTGTTTAATTAAATATTTACTTATAATTGCACATATATTTACTCAAAAAAAAAAAATAGAACGATTGGCTTAGAAAAAATAATTACAGTGAAATCTCTATAAGTGCACCCTCTTCGGGCAGTGTTGTCGCTTGGACGTGAATCCAGCAATTTGATTGGTTGGGACAAGTGTCCTAACCAATCAAATTGCTGGAT